CGGCCTGATTTTGTGCCCCAGTTATTTTCGTTGTTGTTGATATCAAGACAAGAACACTCATCCATAAAGGCAGATGCAAACATAGCGTACCTGGATAAATTGTGCATTCAGTTCTTGAACTCCTATTTAGATCTAAATTCTTGTTTGCTCAAAAACTTTCCGCAGCTTTTATATTTGTAATTGGATATATTAATTGCATATGTCTTAATAACAAGTGTTGAAGATACATGTATATGTAATGTATTATAATTTATAGAGAATTACTATTCCACATATTTTTGCAATGCAATATAATCCGACTATAAATAAAATTTACTACTACTTATGCAAATTCCACTCTTAAGTACACATTATACGAATATTTAAAGAATCTTCAAAAACGATGAAAATAACTTAATTCATGCTTTTAAAGGTTGAATGAATTAGATAAATGCATGTATTTAAATTTTTGCATTCATCATATCTCAGGAATCTTTTTAAAAATATGTATAGATTTATTAGAGCATATCCAAAAGGGTAGAATTTTCAACTTAAGCTAGTTAATAGAAATTTCACAATTCCTCAATATTATAGATACGAATTTAATATTTCGTATTTAATTCTTGAATCATTTACAACTATGTTTAAATATAAATACAAAGCTAAGCGGTTCTGTGTTTATCAACTATTTTTTTTCCCCTTTCACTGTCTAGAATCCAAAGACAAACTATTTCATGCTGGAAAAGATGCACGTGTTTACATGGTTTTCGAAGGTGGATTATTTTTTAACAGAGATTTCAAAACTCAACTTTTAAAAAAATTATCCTTTCGATAACACAAACTTATTTTAAATAATTTCTCCGTCAAATAAAAGGTAATGAATAAAAATTGGGCAAATTCTATTTGACTTACCTTAAGAGGGGCGACACTGAATAACAGATAGCACTATGAAAAGGCAAGGTTGCGAACAATAATCAGGTTGGACAGGTGTACCTGTTCTGCATTTTCAAAAAGAATTTAAATACAAAATAAGATTACTATTTTCTGTGTGTAAATAGCACTTTTTGCTGCACATTTTAAAATTGGATGCAAAGTTTTATGCAACACATATGCAAACATCATGATTATGTAACATTTTATTTTATTTTAATATATTTCTTTGGGGGCATGATGGGTGTGATCCGAGGAGGTACAGAACAATTTTTTTTACAAAATCTAAATGACATCATTTTCGAAATCAAAAAAAGTACATAAATTTTTCACTTATACAGAGACGTCGTCACTGTGTGCCGGTGAAGAGCTTCAAATCTAGACCAATACTCGGCACTAAGGGTCACTGTGCAGTGAGGGTTTTTTTTTATCAGGTCACGCCTACCGTGACACGAGACCTACGTTTTTAAGGTTATATCCATACTGCTTAGTGGCCCGGAGTGCCAAGTATAGGACAAAATTTGTAGCTCTCCATCTGCAAGTGGTGGCGTCTCCACTTGAGTGACAAATTCGAGAGAGAGGGACGTTAAACAACATACAATCAATCAATATATTTCATGAAAGTGTTAGCAGGAATATATATTTTCCTTCAAAATATGTAAAGTTGACGATAGAAAAATTGAATTTGCAATTGTCTCCTCTGTCAAAATTGTTCATTTGCATTTCTCATATTTAGTTGGTAAAACTTCCAAATATGAGACTCTGTTGTGTGTTTAATTTTACAGACCTACTCTCCAAGAAATAGATAAATGTTGTCAATGATAAACTCCAGCATACAAAGGATTTTCATGAAGCACATTGACATTTTTTAACCAAAACAAACACTATGCGCCAGGCAGCAAAAAAGTTTGGAAAAAGCTATTTTTAGCATTAAGGTCACAGTCAAGGTAACAAGGTCATTGGCTTGGTGTCATTTGAAAGAGCTTGATTAGAGTAGTATGCGTACCAAATATGAAATCTCAATCTCTCATGGATCAAAAGTTATAGTGAGGGTTAAAAAAGCTATCTTTAGCATGTAGTTCACAGTCAAGGTGACAAGGTCACTGATCTTGGTGTCATTTAGAGGAACTTGATTAGCGGAGTATGCATACCAAATACATGTATAAAGTCTCTATCTTTCATGGTTCCAAAGTTATGGCGAAGGTTAAAGTTTGCAGAAAAAAAGTTATTTTTAGGATATAGGCCACAGTTAAGGTCACAAGGTCATTAACCTTGGTGTTATTTAAAAGAAGTTAATTAGTGGAGTATGCTTACTAAATATTAAGTTTCCAACTCTCATGGTTCAAAAGTTATGGTGAAGGTTAAATTTCGAGACAAACAAACAACCAACCAAACAGACAGACAGACAGACAGGATAAAAACAATATACGCCCTGGATCTATCGATCGCAAAAAATATATATAGTTAACTATAGCTTACTATACATGTAGTTACATGTAGCTATAGTTAACTATAGTGATAAATATGAAAACTTTAATTTAATATAGTGATAGCTTTGACACTTTAGTTACCATAGTATACGTAATACGTATAGTACACTTTGATTAACTAAATTGATAACTATAAATACTTTGATTTACCACCGTGATTGGTATGAAAACGTTTATTTACGGTGGTAAAAAAGTTTGCTTTATTATGGTGATCACTTTGACACTTTGATTTACTATGATTAACTAAAACAAACTATACTTAACTATAGTATTTCGTTAGGGAAATAGATAGACAACAATTTCAACTAAATGACAACCTTACATGTACATGTATACATAGAATAAACGCCTGTATAGATTTTATTTTCTTTTAATAAAACAGTATCCAAAACTTAATAGTAGCCCTGGCTATACAAAAAAATTCGATGATTAATCAAAAGATAAATCCACTTGGGTACATACTGAATATGAAAAAAAATCTTTAAACTGAATTTGATTGGCTCTGTCACTCACAGACACGGTGTTAATATTTGCATATAATGCAAGTTCTGAGCATGACTCAATCTCCTTGAAGAAATACCCAAGCAATACTTTAGACATGAATGACGACATGATGAATTCATTATACAAACATTTCAGAAAAAAAGTTTTCACGTCAAGTATAAACGTAATTAAAGAACGTCAAATACATGTGTCCATTGGACCACATGTTTCGAAGAATGTACTATCCAAATAAAACAAGGACACTACTCACAAGTTCTCATAAAACAATTAAAGATACAATTCATTCCATGAAGTACAAGCATCTTGTATTAGATAAGGACACATAAACAGACATTACTACCTGTGAAATTCATAAGTGAGAAACTAATGAAAAAAAAATCAATGCTTTCAATATGACATACAGCAAAATATAGGATTTTGATCATCAACCATCAATGTAATGGTGAATGAAAATTCAATGCATAGTACTTGAAACAATATAACATATCAGTGAAACCTTCAAATTGAATATGGAAATACACACAGTGTCGGACTGGACAGTGAAAGAAGCACAGAAAACAGTAAAATGGGTTGCCTGGGTTCGTATTCACAGTAAAACAGAATATAAACAAGTGTTCAATTCTCAGTGTATATGGGTGAAGGATTAGCAAGTCTTAATTATAGCCGGGAATACAAATACCTCAGTACATCGAATAAGAAGATGAACGACCTGTTAGGTCTGGAGTTTATTTACAAACATACATTCTGACTAACTAGCAAACTACATACATGTAATGACTAGATGCCAATGAAGTTACATGTACATGTAAGCATACAAGATATTAAAATAGTATGTCAAAAAAATTCTGCTGAAACGAAAATGCCCTTAATAGTTCTGATTTCTAACTGGAACTTTGACAAAAATACGTATGTATTTGACAATATATGAAACTTGAGATTCACAATTTCATCAGATATGAAAAACAATTGAGGAAAAAAAAGTCAGACAACCTTGATATTGAGGGTGACAGATCTTATCTTAACAAAAGGCCCTTTGGTCAAAACATTGACATGTCAATATGGCTCTGCTGTTCTTTATTAACACTTTTTTTATTTCATCTTCAAGTTAATTATTTATTTTTACGGTGACCCCATCCTACCCCAGGCGTCATTATTTTTTTTATAGCTGAAGCCACATCCTACAACCTAGGGGTCATTATTTCAACAAACAGAAGTCTATACACTAAATACTTCCATGTGAATGGGGCTTAAAACTGAACATGTTTCGTAAAAGGAATGTGTCCACCATTTTTGAATGGATTCTCACTAAATCAGTAGATCCCTATATAAAGGAGCCAATGTAGTCACTGTCAAGTGTAATCAGTCAACGCCGGTGTGGAAGGATGTATGCTAAACAGCACTCTTAAGTAAAAATAACTGTATACTTGTACTAATGCTGGAAAGTAATACAATACCTAAGATTTTACAATATTTGCACAGATCAGTGCTATATACAAACAAACACAAATGCATGTAAACGCAACTGCAATAAAATGTAAACAAAGGTAATGCTAGATAACCAGCACAAACATGAGTCCCCATTCAACACCAATACCAGTAGCAAGAAAGCTGTCAGGTGTAATGATTGCAAAGAGTTCTGTAGATTCCAAAACATACACTAGGAATTAATTATCACATAATTTTGAGAGAAGTGCCACTTGTGAAATAAAGTTACTACCTTTATTTTTATGGTGCTAACATTCATGTAAAATTTCTTGCAAATTATTTTCTCGCTATTTTCCACTTAAAATTTTTTTGGCAAGAGTTTGTAGTCATGCAAAATAAGGAATTTACACTATACCTTGGTGATCATATCATAGAAACATGTATGCCTATTTACCAGTGGTGTTCAGCTTAAACATGACTTCTGAGAATATTTCTCCACCATGGGGTCAAGCTTTGAACAAACATGAATCTACACTATCTGAGAATATGTCACTATCAATATGACTAATCATGGCTTTGCTTTTCTTGAAAGATTTTTCTCCAATATACAATGTAATCTAATGATTTTTTTTACCCCTATTGCATCCAAATTATATTCCCAGGAGTTATCATATGAAAAGCAATTCAAAATTGAATGAAACACTATTTAGTGGCTTCTAACACCTCTCTCTTCTTCTCTTTTTCCCTCTGTCTGCTGGGTTTATCCTTCAATGATTAATTCTTGACTTCACACCACCTGGCCAGTCCCTCTTCACATAACTTTTTTCCAACATTAACATCCTGAAATATTAAGTAAAAAAATAAGACATACATGTACATGTATTTGAATAGGCCCTTTGTTAGGGAGGGATTGAGAGTGGTAATGGATGAAGAGATCATGGGGAAAGTGTTGCATATTTCTGTTGATTTACGTTTTAATTTGACTTTGTCTACAGTGTATTCAGTTGACTAATCACATATTTACAGAAAATTTCTCAATGACCTTCATATCCTACTTGTTTAAACAATTTAATCTGGACATAACAAATTCAAAAGGAATAGGCAAAATAAGACAACCATAAGAACTGGACAGATCTCTCAGACTGAACAATTTAATTTAAATGAAAGGGAATTAAGATCATCTTAGCTACAATTTTGCAACACACAACATTGGGATAAGACATGTTTTACTGTAATAAGCTTATAATGAATGTGATCTCACTCGTAACTCTAAATTTCTATTTAATACAAGAGGCCCATGGGCCTTATAGGTCACCTGAGCATCAGCAACAACTTTCAAATGATTGAATTTGGTTAATGTTTTTAGATAGATGATATGGCATTCACAATTTTGAAAGAGGCATCATTGCTCAGCATGACTATTCACCTATCAATTGCTTAGTTTGGTTACCAAGATTTAATGCATTTTCACTATATAATCAATAGAGCCCTGCCCTAACACCAGAACCCCTGGCCTTGGGGCCATAAAATTCAAAATTTTAGTAAAGGCACTCTTGCTCATTATAACTATGTACTTTGTTGGTTCATTTAATACCCAGGAGCAAAGAAGAAGATTTTCCAAAGAGTTAATGCATTTTCATTATAAAATCAAAAGAGCCCTGCCCTAGCACCAGAACCCCTGACCCTGGGGCCATGAATTTCATAATTTTGGTAGAGGACTCAATGCTCATTACAATTATGCCAACAGTTTGACTGCTTGATATCCAGGCTTAAAGAAGAAGATTTTTAAAGATTGCACTAACTTTAGTGGTTTTTGCCCCACCCCTCAGGCCCCAGGGGGGCAGGGACCATGAAATTCATGATTTTTGTTCCCCTCCACCCATAGATGCTTCATGCCAAAATTGTTTGAAATTTGTTGAGTGGTTGCAGAGAAGATGCTGAAAATGTTCAAATGTTAACACGACGCACACCGCACGACGACAGACGAAAACGGATAGCAATAGGTCACCTGAGTAAACTCAATTTCACTAAAGCTCATCATGTCTCTCTCCTAATATACATATTCTTTATCCCTTATGCTTAGGATTATCCCAAACAAGAGGCCCATGGGCCACATCGCACACCTGAGAAGCTTTGACCATTCTGTTCTTTACCAGATTTCACCCTTGTTATACATAATGCATCCCCACCCTACCCCACTGTTCATAATTTAGACATTTTGAAATCTACACTACCCCATGATCCTTCCATGGGCACATATGTTTCAGCTTTTTTGGCCCAGTGGTTCCTGAGAAGAAGATTTTCAAAGATTTTTCCTATATATTTCTATGTAAAACTTTGATTCCCCATAATGGCCCCGGCCTTCCCCCGGGGGTCATGATTCCTACAATTTAGAATTTACACTACCCCAGAATGCTTCCACATAAGCTTCACTTTTTCTGGCCCAGTGGTTCTTGAGAAGAAAATTTTCAGAGAATTTTCCTATATATTTCTATATAAAACTTTGAGACCCCATTGTGGCCCCGCCCTTCCCCCGGGGGTCATTATTTAAACAATTTAGAATCTACATTATACCAGGATGCTTCCACATAAGTTTCAGCTTTTCTGGCCCAGTGGTTCTTGAGAAGAAGATTTTCAAAGATTTTTCCTCTATATTTCTATGTAAAACTTTGATACCCTATTGTGGCCCCGCCCTTCCCCCGGGGGTCATGATTTGAACAATTTAGAATCTACACTACACCAGGATGCTTCCACATAAGTTTCAGCTTTTCTGGCCCAGTGGTTCTTGAGAAGAAGATTTTCAAAGATTTTTCCTATATATTTCTATGTAAAACTTTGATTCCCCATTGTGGCCCCGCCCTTCCCTCGGGGGTCATGATTTGAACAATTTAGAATCTACATTATATCAGGATGCTTCCACATAAGTTTCAGCTTTACTGGCCCAGTGGTTCTTGAGAAGAAGATTTTTTAATGACCCCACCCTATTTTTGTCTTTTCTTGATTATCTCCCCTTGCGAGGGGATATGTCCCTTCATTTAAACAATTTAAATTCCCCTTTACCCAAGGATGCTTTGTATCAAGTTTGGTCAAAATTGGCCCAGTGGTTCTTGAGAAGAAGTAAAAAATGTGAAAAGTTTACAGACGGACAGACGGATGGACGACGGACAAAATGTGATCAGAAAAGCTCACTTGAGCCTTCGGCTCAGGTGAGCTAAAAATTCTTTTTATAATTAAAATACATGAAATTATAGCATACTTTTAGGAGCAAACCCCACAATAAAGATTTCTGTAAACTTGAAAAAAAAAAAAATTAAAGTAATTTATCCCAGTAAAAGTAAATGTGAATTCAAATCACTAATCTTCTTGGGGATTTAATTTAAATTTCGTTGTTTGTCAAGGTATGGAGAGACCCATTAATTTTAAACCACCAGGAAATGTCAACTTTTATATGAATTAATACTAAACATTTTAAAACCACGAAATCAAATTCCCACAAAACAATATTTTTTTCCTCAAACTTCGAAAATTCAATTAACAATTCTGACATAATGATCTCTAGAGAGATCTTCCCCTGACCTTTTCTCCGTTTGTATCCACCAGCTCCACTATGTGGATTTTCTCTCCTGTAGACAGAGTCTTTATCTCCACCAGACGCGCCATCAGGACTTTCCACATGGCGGAGTACGTCATCTGCTCAAATCTGTCCACGACCGCCTCCTCCCAGCTGTCGCCATCTACAGAGAAAGACAAGACAGAGGCTTGTATAACACAAACAAGTATATACTAACAAAACGTCAGAGATACTCAAAGTCAACTAAGAAGTGTCATTAATTAATATCCTAAAATTGTATAAGATGAGGGCTATTGAGTTCAATCTTTTGTTGAATAAAATACATGTACTGGAAAAAAAACTCATATATTAAATTTAGAATAAATATCATTACATGTAATCGTACAACTTTTTAAAAATGTATTAACATTACTCACTTTCAGGAGAATATTAAAATTATGCAGCATAGTGACCGTTTCCTAATTTATTGAAATATACGCTTTGTAGACATTCAGTATTAATATACTTTAAACAACTTATAGCAACGGGGGGGAGGGGGACGGGGGGAATGGGGTGGCTGTCCCCCCATTTTTTCCCAACATTGCTTTTACAATTAGAATGTTCATTCAACCACCCCCTGCCACTTGATACTACAGGAAGCCGATAATAGGAAAATGAAGTTATGGTTGTAAAAGAAAATTGTAACTGAAAGAAGTTGGCATTGAAAAAAGTTTGCCCCCCCAACAAGGAAAAAAGACTTTCGAGTTTGAGCACTTTTCCTTTTTTTTTGTTTTTTGCCAAGGCTCCTCCTTTCAAAAACAATGCTACGTAGCTGTAATGATGAACATCACAACATTTAAAAAATAGCAATCCAAATAGCTTGTTACAAGCCTTTAGCAAAATTTTCAAAATGAATGGGGGAGGGGGCTCCATGCAGAGTCCAAAAAATTCACGTGAGTACAGGCACAGGCACCTGAAGTATGAATAATATCCCCCCTTTTTTTAATGAAAAAAAAGTAAGAGTGAATAATATCTCAAAAATATAAAATTTCCCTGTCAAACACATCCATATGTCGTTATATGCAAGCAGATTGTACTTTTTCTCACGTTTAAAAAATGGCCCTATTCCGTATATAATAAAAATAAGAAACAAAAGTTGTAAATAAACGGAGGACCCCTGCTTCGAGACAGATTTCCAAGGTAATGATTAGTGTTACCTATCATAATTTTGCAAGCACTCTGTTTGGGAGATGTTCTTTTACTATTCTCTTTACCTAAACCCGGCGATTAGCATTAGATATGCCGTAATCGGACGATTTATTAATCAGATACATAAAATTTTCTCCATTGGCAGCTTTGGAGAAGGTTTTGGAGTCACAATTCTGTTTCGCCTTATCTGATTGGTTAGATATTTAAACTGTATTAAAATTAACCAACAACTTACAATTAAGCTGGTGATAGTCCGATTTTTTTTTTTCAAGAAAAAGAAAAACGTATGAAGGATAATTTAACATTAATTTTGTGGTATTATTTAAGAAATAAACAACGTTATTTAGTGAACATGGCGTTATGAATAGCAATTGCTCTGCTGGCATATTCCATGATGCGCGCTAGCGCATCATGGAAAATATGCCAGCAGAGCTATTGCTATTCATCACGCCATGTTTACTAAATAATCGTTGTTTATTACTTATATTTGCATTCTTTGATGTTGTCAAGATTATCAGAGGAAATCCTGACTTACATAAGGACGTAGCTTCTTCTGTCTTCAGTAAAGAAAACACATACGACTTTAAAATCAGTACACCTGATCAATACTCCTTTTCTCTTATAAATCACAATTTTAAAAGTATTTCTCTCTCTAACACAGTTATCTGGATACAAGCAGCGCCGTCATCACATTCTCTTAATTTTTGTTTTGATGCAGTCGTGACGTCATCAATCAACGTTATTTAAATCCTCTGACAAAAATCAATTATTTAACACTATGATTAAAATGAGATGATTTTATAATGATTATTACTCCAGTATGCTTTTCCGTGATTTTTTGGTACTTTTTCTGTTTATTTTTTCTTGAAATAGATATAGATCTATTAGTTAAAGCAGAGACGTCTTTGATTAAAGATCTTTTCTCTTTCTGTATGTTATTACCCAAGTGTGAAGAGTTATCGTTCTTTGTACAAGTATGCATGATACGAAAAAATAAAAATATGGAGTTCTATTCAATTTTTAAAAAGTTTTAAATAACTATTAAATACATTGACCAAAATTAAATTTTTAAAGATATCAAACAGCAATTTTAAATTGTTCTGAATTTTTTTTTTTCCAAAAAATATTATTAAAATCTTATTTTTAGTCCTTTTACGAAACATTTCATATATATACTTCTCAACACGGTTTATAAGTGTAGTAGAGCTTATTCTGCACTCATAACCTTTTGAATTAGACAACATCAAAAACAATATTTTTGCCAAAACTTGCTACTGTAAAATCACATATTTTCGTGAGGTCAAATTTTCGTGGTTTGAGGAAACAATTTTGGTTCGTGGGGATCTGTTTTCGTGGATGAAGAACTTGTTAGTGGTTGTGCATATGAAAAATTACATTTCGTCGTGGACATAAATTCGTGGGTCTCTTCATACCACGAAAACAACGAAAATCAAACCCCCACGAAAATTAGTGATTTCACAGTATCTTACAAGTAAAATCTTTTCCTTAATTTCTATCAAAATACCGTATAAGTAGAAATTTTAGCGAGGATTTAATTTTGGCATTATTAGCGAGGCTGTTGAGATCGCTAAAATTGAATATCGCTAAAAATAAATTGCGTGTTATTTGTACTAGTTTCTATAGTGAGCATTTTAAAATCGCTAAAATTACCTCTCGCTAAAAATAAATACCAGTTTTTAAGAAGAAATCGCTAAATTTGCGTCTCGCTAAAATTTCCACTTATACGGTACATGTAATCATGATAATCTACCTTATCTTTTTTTTTCATTTTTTTGATAGAGCCGATTAACCATGGTATCATATATTTTGAGATTTTGCTCTTGAAAGAGTTTTGCGAGTTAAAGAATGGGTGGACTTAACGCCCTATTTTGGATCTTTTTGCTACTCCTCTATCAAGCTGAAAATGAAGTGAATCCAAAATAGATTACGAGCAATGGAAATAGCTACATATACTTGGTTAAATGAGGTGGAACATTTGTGCAAAACAATGCCCTGTTGTCATGTATAGCCACTAACCAGAGAGTTAGGGGTCTTACAAAATTTACATTTTATATTTTTGAATATTACAATATTTAGATTTCTATTTATACTACAGTTTTCTATTTTATTCATTGATACAAATTTCCCTATAGTTTTAAGTTGAGCAGATGGCTTGTAAATACTACATCTAGTACATTGTTATCTATAGTTTTTGAAGTCAATTTAGTTAATCCCCTGTGCAATTATCTTTTGTGACCCTGAAGACAGTATACATGTAGGTGTCATAGTAATTAACACTTTACCTGGCCATATAAATCTATTGTACAGATGTCAAAGAATCTTGAGTAAATCAAATAATCACTCGATTTACCTTAAGGCTAAGATTATACTTTAATTATCAAAAATAACAAGAGATAATCTCGGGAGTAGTAGTTTAGCAGTAAGAGAGTTAGGAGCTAGGGCTAGAGCAGCTGGCAGACCCAGTCTTGGATTGTAAATAATTTAAAAATTACTCCTTTAATAAAGACTGTAATGACATTTTATCTTATGTCTTACTCCTTGACAAATCCATGTCAAGGACAGTAACCATGTCTCTTGGTTACTGCGTGACCCAGTGTTGAGGCCAGGTGTGCATGTGTGTGCAATAGGGTGCACTACTTATTCCAAGTGGACCCCTACCCTCCCCGAGTGGCGGTCACACATGTATCAAAACTGAAGCAATGATACATGAGTATCGTCTTCCAGAATTCGACATGTACCCAGAGTGGTTTTTATGTCACACAATCAATATTTATAGGAGGTGGGGCTATCGATCACCTTCATTGTTGACATCTCTCTCTCTCTCTCTCTCCAGAAATTCAAAAACATGTTAAGCATGTAACACCGATGTCAGTATGAAATTATTTTTAAAATGTGATCAGTGACACGCAAAATTAAAACAATATTTATTTTGCTAAATTCTGAAAACGGCAACAAAACAGGCAAATAGACATGATTTAGATCGAGGTCAGGTTGAAGAATACAATGTAACTGTTTTTACAAGTACACTCGCAGGTAGACATCACGTGATGAATTGTAATATTAAACAGGTCAATCGAAGACATAACAATGGAAGCGAGAAGTCTGTTTCGAATATGTTTTTTGTTAAATTAAGTATCAGCACACATTTGTCGGCTCTTCTCCTTTTAATATGACATTATTTTGTTCAATATACAACTACAGTTTTCTTAAGAACAGCCGACAAACATATGCTGACTATGCATTCAGACGATGAAAAACGCGTGACCCTGATTATCTATTGATATTAAAGAAAACTTCAGGCACCATGTCTTCGATGTTTATTAGTTTACCTCGAAAAAAGCGTTTTAAATTCACATCCGTATCATGAATACACGGTTAAGATAATGGGGGTTTATATGATGGGAAAAAATAAACATTTTATGAAACTTAAATCTACGGCATTTTTTCTGGCCAGTTAAGTCCATCCATTCTTTGACTGAATATTTATATCTCACCTGTAGGACAAACATGTGCCATCTCACACTCAACAGCTTGGAAAGGAATTCTTAAGAAGTCTGGTCTGAAGGAGATAAAAAATTATAAAACGACCTAAAAAAATTGGTACCATATTTCCACTTTGCCAGTGCAAACATTTTCTATACACAACAAATTAAGGTCATAACATACTACTGTTTAAGAGATCAAGTACAATCAAGACTCTGCATTTCCAGAAAAAAAGTAACAATTTAATTTGTGCAACACATTAGAATTTAAATCTCAATACATTTCTAAAGAATAAATAATATGTCTAGTTCTACTTTATTAACAGAAATATTTTTTCAAGGCTAACAATTAAAACAAGAGGCCCATGGGCCACATCGCTCACCTGAGAAGCTTTGACCATTCTGTTCTTTACCAGATTTCCCCCTTGTTATACATAATGCATCCCCACCCTACCCCACTGATCATAATTTAGACATTTTGAAATCTACACTACCCCATGATCCTTCCATGGGCACATAAGTTTCAGCTTTTTTGGCCCAGTGGTTCCTGAGAAGAAGATTTTCAAAGATTTTTCCTATATATTTCTATGTAAAACTTTGATTCCCAATAATGGCCCCGCCCTTCCCCCGGGGGTCATGATTCCTACAATTTAGAATCTACACTACCCCAGAATGCTTCCACATAAGCTTCACTTTTTCTGGCCCAGTGGTTCTTGAGAAGAAGATTTTCAAAGATTTTTCAAATATATTTCTATATAAAACTTTGATTCCCCATTGTGGCCCCGCCCTTCCCCCGGGGGTCATTATTTAAACAATTTAGAATCTACATTATACCAGGATGCTTCCACATAAGTTTCAGCTTTTCTGGCCCAGTGGTTCTTGAGAAGAAGATTTTCAAAGATTTTTCCTCTATATTTCTATGTAAAACTTTGATACCCTATTGTGGCCCCGCCCTTCCCCCGGGGGTCATGATTTGAACAATTTAGAATCTACACTACACCAGGATGCTTCCACATAAGTTTCAGCTTTTCTGGCCCAGTGGTTCTTGAGAAGAAGATTTTCAAAGATTTTTCCTATCTATTTCTATATAAAACTTTGATGCCCTATTGAGGCCCCACCCTTCCCCCGGGGGTCATTATTTGAACAATTTAAAATCTACATTATACCAGGATGCTTCCACATAAGTTTCAGCTTTTCTGGCCCAATGGTTCTTGAGAAGAAGATTTTCAAAGATTTTTCCTAGATATTTCTATATAAAACTTTGATTCCCCATTGTGGCCCCGCCCTTCCCCCGGGGGTCATTATTTGAACAATTTGGAATCTACATTATACCAGGATGCTTCCACATAAGTTTCAGCTTTTCTGGCCCAGTGGTTCTTGAGAAGAAGATTTTCAAAGATTTTTCCTATATATTTCCATGTAAAACTTTGATACCCTATTGTGGCCCCGCCCTTCCCCCGGGGGTCATGATTTGAACAATTTAGAATCTACACTACCCCAGGATGCTTCCACATAAGTTTCAGCTTTACTGGCCCAGTGGTTCTTGAGAAGAAGATTTTTTAATGACCCAACCCTATTTTTGTCTTTTCTTGATTATCTCCCCTTGCGAGGGGATATGTCCCTTCATTTTAACAATTTAAATTCCCCTTCACCCAAGGATGCTTTGTACCAAGTTTGGTCAAAATTGGCCCTGTGGTTCTTGAGAAGAAGTCGAAAATGTGAAAAGTTTACAGACGGACAGACGGACAGACAGACGGACAGACGGACAGACAGACGGACGGACGACGGACAAAATGTGATCAGAAAAGCTCACTTGAGCCTTCGGCTCAGGTGAGCTAAAAAAAACACAATAGAATCAATATTTCAAAATACATGTACATAACATGTATTTTTTTCTTAAAAATTCTAAGCTTAGTGATGGAGATAATTGATCACACAGAACCAGATAAATAACTGAACTTAAAGTTTACATTGTCTTCACGTCAAAAGTACTTGGATAGTTGTCAATCTGGAATACATGACACAGATTACTTTAGACAACTTACTGTAAGACTCGGACTTTACTCTTGGACAGATAACAGCTGTCTCCGTAGTCAAGGTAGAAAAGGTCAAGCTGCTCAGGGTCATCTCCTTGGTAACCAGACACTCTGGCCCTGTACCATGAGGTATCCTGGTCAAATGGTGCAGCCACCAAATCTCCCACTTGTGCAAGCTTCACAAGATCAACCTGTAACACAGTCAAAATATTATTTCTGTGTGTAATAGTAAAGTACCTAAAACATCATAGGTTATCATCATCTAGTGAGTGTGTGTTATGAACAAGATATAATTTCTTCTATTTATCATCTTCTTGTTAGTGTTCTATTCATCATGTATAAAATCCTTCTCATTTTACGAGAAAGTTACTTATACATCTATGTTTACAGGAAAAGTAAAATGATCAAAAGCAGCTGTAAGTGTATTCTGGTAATATTTCGAAGAGATTGAGATAATTTACAGGAGAAAATGAAAAGTAAGCCGACAGTGATCACTGTAGTGGAAAATGGTGCCTATTTAAGGGGGTGCAGCTCAAATGAAGTAGGAGAGTTGATAGTTCTGAAATGTGCACTGAATTAAAAATTACCTCCCTTCAGTTGTCTGGAAAAAAAAATCCCACTTTTGTTACTCTAGAGTAGTTCTGAGAAAGATGATAATCTTTACCATAGTACTGTGACATGAATTACTCCTGACCCTTTTTTGTTGACAAGACATACCCTATTTTGTTTCATGAATTACTCCCCTTTGATTGACATGAATTTTGAATAATTACCTCTCTTTCTTTACTGTAGTACAGTGACATGAGTTACCTCCCTTTCTTTACTGTACTTCTGTGACATGAGTTACCTCTCTTTCTTTACTGTAGTTCTGTGACTTGAGTTACCTCTCTTTACTGTAGTTCTGTGACATGAGTTACCTCCCTTTCTTTACTGTAGTTCTGTGACTTGAGTTACCTCCCTTTCTTTACTGTACTTCTGTGACATGAGTTACCTCTCTTTCTTTACTGTAGTTCTGTGACATGAGTTACCTCCCTTTCTTAACTGTACTTCTGTGACATGAGTTACCTCCCTTTCTTTACTGTAGTACCTCTCTTTCTTTACTGTAGTACTGTGACATGAGTTACCTCCCTTTCTTAACTGTAGTTCTGTGACTTGAGTTACCTCTCTTTACTGTAGTTCTGTGACATGAGTTACCTCCCTTTCTTTACTGTAGTACTGTGACATGAGTTACCTCTCTTTACTGTAGTACTGTGACATGAGTTACCCCTCTTTCTTTACTGTAGTACTGTGACATGAGTTACCTCTCTTTACTGTAGTTCTGTGACATGAGTTACCTCTCTTTACTGTAGTACTGTGACATGAGTTACCTCTCTTTACTGTAGTACTGTGACATGAGTTACCTCCCTTTCTTTACTGTACTTCTGTGACATGAGTTACCTCTCTTTCTTTACTGTAGTACTGTGACATGAGTTACCTCTCTTTCTTTACTGTAGTTCTGTGACTTGAGTTACCTCTCTTTACTGTAGTTCTGTGACATGAGTTACCTCCCTTTCTTTACTGTAGTTCTGTGACATGAGTTACCTCCCTTTCTTTACTGTACTTCTGTGACATGAGTTACCCCTCTTTCTTTACTGTGGTTCTGTGACATGAGTTACCTCTCTTTCTTTACTGTAGTACTGTGACATGAGTTACCTCTCTTTCTTTACTGTAGTACTGTGACATGAGTTACCACTCTTTCTTTACTGTAGTACTGTGACATGAGTTACCTCTCTTTACTGTAGTACTGTGACATGAGTTACCTCCCTTTCTTTACTGTAGTACTGTGACATGAGTTACCTCTCTTTCTTTACTGTGGTTCTGTGACTTGAGTTACCTCTCTTTACTGTAGTTCTGTGACATGAGTTACCTCTCTTTCTTTACTGTAGTACTGTGACATATCTTTGACCATCTCGTCTAGCTGTATAGACATGGAGGTCAGGATCTGTACAAAGAAGGTGGAGGGGTTGGCGACGGAGGAGACGTAGACCTCCACGTACTCCCTACCACTCGGCCAGGAGCAGGTGTTCTCTGTGTGGTGGGTTGGCGTCTTAGGTACTGAAAATAACAAGGATTCAATATGATAAACACCTCCTGGACAGTTTCTCTGATAAATATGATTGATTATTGGAGAAGATCGCTATCACTTTGTAACAATTCATTTTACACAGATATTATTATGTTGTGCAATTTTAAAAGCAGGTTAGAGGTCTAAAGGCATTGTGAATAGTTTCTCAGGGTTCCTGTATGGCTGTTATTGTGTTGCTATTTTTTTCACAATTTATACTAAAAAATCAACATTTTTGGCAATTTTAAAAGCAGTTTGCTCAATTTTATGCAAAGGTACTACAGGTGACTCTCGATGGCTCGAACTCCAATCTCTCGAAGTTCTCTATCTCTCGAAGTGAACCTCTGGTCCCGTTTTTTTCCTCTATATAATTAAGCAAATTTACTCCTGATCTCTCGAACTTCCATCTCTCGAAGTTCTCTATCTCTCGAACCAAACCCTGGGTCCTGTTACACATATTTCATTGAATTTTACTCTCTATCTCTCGAAGTTTTGTTTGCGCGTGTATGCACGCCAATCAAGCGTAAAATTGCTGCAGTCTGGACTTACCTGGAAACCGTGAAGGCCATGGGCTGGCATGGAGGCGTTAATTGGGTGTTTACATAGATGACACTTCACCTGTTGGTCGTCCGTGTGTTGTTATAATTAATTGGCTATTTTTCACAGGGTAAATTAAAAAAAAAATTACAACTTATTTTTAGTTGAAACCTAGACAATAATTTTTGAAATTAATTTATGGATGTTCGTTTCAGTAAGTCCCCATAGACTATGAACTTTCATTATGATTATGTAGAGTCTACATAATCCCAGTATGGGAAATATTACACAAGAAATTCTTTTTTCAAGGACGGAATACCGATTGAGAAAAATCTGGTGAACACTTGTGAATGACCCGATCAAGCCACGGAATAGTCAAACCAACAATTGCTATTCGGGTTTCATGTAATAGGAACAAATAAACATCGAATCTTTAGGAATTCTTTTATTTATTCGAAGTACAATCATTGTTGTTGAAATCAAGTAAATTACCTGTAAAATACGATTAAAAACGTGCAAATGACATTATTTACATATACTTCCGGTATCTGTAAAAGTAGAATTTCGACGATCGGAACTGAAAATTCCGGATTTTATTTACTTTCTATCTCTCGAACCCCTCGATCTCTCGAACTTTTCTCGCGGTCCCTTGAACTTCGAGAGATCGAGAGTCACCTGTATGTAAAATGTCATGTCTCAACATCAATGTTTCCTTAACACTTCATATTTTAATTTAACTTTAGAAAAAGTAACATTTTTTCAGGATAAGAGACCCAGTGTTTGAGATTTGCTGTTATATAAGAGTGATTTAAACCTGGCTCTGCTTTATCCAATGGTAATGCTTCTCTCTTCTTGTCTTCGGTGTCTACCTTTAACTTGCTACGCTTCTCTCTATTAGCCTCCATTACAGATTTCTTTGCTCTGAACAACTTTTCTTCTTGGAGTTTTTCTTCAATTAATGTCTGTGGAAAAAAAGATTAAGGTGAAATATCCCTCTGCTCAAAATTTCATGATTTTTTTTTTTATTCTACTAAACATTGATTTTCAACAACACCAATAGCATTAAATTCAAATGGAAAATAGTTCGTAGTACAAACAAACTACGAACAATTAAATGTTTATAAACAATTTTGTATCTGAAATTCGTTAACAATTTAATGGCTTATACGTTCAGTGATAGAAATATCTTCTTTTACATGGTTTAAAGGAACTCTATCTACACATCTCTATCCTTACCCTGGCTAGGTCAATCTGTTCCCTCGTCCCTGTGATCTGTACTTCTCTATCCACCTCTCTATATTCGTCCTTTGTCCGGTCAATGTACACCTTTGCGTTGGCTGATCTGGAGATGCTTCGGATTGTTTCTCCACCCCTACCTGAATATTAAAATAGAAAGTGAAGGACATCATGTTACATGTAAAGGTGTAATTTAATACAAGCAAAACAAATTAATACATATATCTGTGTAGGAGTATCTACATAGAGATGTAGTGTTGGTGACCTCTGACAAAAGAAAAAAAAATAAACAGATTTTCTACTGAATGTACTAATTGTCATGTTTAAACAAATAGTGAGCCAAAGATAATTCAAGGATTGGAATGATCTGAGGGTTCGAAATTCACTATATACAACTCGAAAAATGCGAGTAAAATGAAAATATCCAATTTGCGAGTTAAATATTTTATAACTCACAAAATTAAAAAAGATTTAGTCTTTCTCTCTTCAGTTTCTGTTTATAAATCTTCTATGTTTAAACAAACGAGCATGTGCCACGTCCCATGTAGAAAATTACGATTTCTTAAAAAGATGGAAAGACAGCTAGTTATTTTTACAAAGCTTTCATTAATTTTCAAAATTGTCCTTTGAAAATGCAGGTTCATTACTTTGGTACTCACAATTGTTTGGGGAGTTTCTACCCCCTGGATCTCTGGATCAAAGAACATCCAAGCCATGATCATTTGAAGAATTGAAAACCTACCAATAATCCTGCCCAGAGCACTGGAAGGTACAAAGATCTGCTCGGTGAGTACAACTGGCATGTTGGCCACAAACTCCCTGATGATGAGCTCAGCTTTCTGAGCGGACTCAGCTGTCCCCCGGATCACCATTGTACGCTTCTCATTCTCATCTTTAGCCCGGTTGTTTTCGTCTTTAAAATTTATCCTTGTGCCTGTAGTCTTTTGGATCTAAGTAAAAAAGCCATCATTAATAACTGAAATATGGTTCATGTAGTTTGTACTCAACAAAATTTTTAACCCTTAAACAGGATTGCTCTGTCATTCAGATTTTATCAACTATTCAAGAAATAAAGTATCATTCTTAGTTTTATTGGGATGTAAAACAGGTTGGTAATGTGAAGAAATCCATAAAGCCTGAAGGCTATATGGAAGATTTGACTACCGTATAAGTGGAAATTTTAGCGAGACGCAAATTTAGCGATTTGTCCTTAAAAACTGGTAATATATTTTTAGCGAGATGTTATTTTAGCGATTTTAAAATGCACTTTCAGTAAGCTATTACAAATAAAACGCACTTTATTTTTAGCGATATTCAATTTTAGCGATCTCGGCATCCTCGCTAATAATGCCAAAATTAAATCCTCGCTAAAAATTCTACTTATATGGTATGTACCAACCCGTCATAACATCATAATCTTTAATTTAAATCCTCTTCCTTTATATTTAATCAGATTTTTTTAATACTCAATTTTCATCAGGTTTCTCTTATTTTTCAAATTATCTGCCCCAGTACAATTGTATACTTGACCGAGTTGAGTCTTTGTTTTGCAGTTAGCAGCCCCATCAATAATTATATATATTATAATTATAATTATGCTCCAATGTTTATCAACAACACCTATTCAGAAATGCAACAAAGCTCTTTATAATGTTGGACCCCTGTCTGTACATCATGCTTTTGAGTTCCACCAATAAATATATGTCTTGACAGTGTAATGTAGGACCTGATTGCCAATGATATCCCCCACCCCTCCTAACGCAACAGGTATTTATCTAACGTAAACGTCATTACCCCAATTGTGTTGATTTTTTGACGAAATACTGGCATACGATTGGTTGAAGTCTGTCACTTGAAGGAGGTGGATAACCTATACCCAGTCAATTGTACCGGTAAATCACTACACGGTCGATGTAATATGTAACTTACACAACGTGACGTCATTGTAGGCATAGTATTTAGCATGATGAAGAATGTAGCAGAATCGTTTTTATAAACCACAGATAATACGTACATGTATATGTTTCATCGGTTGGGGTTCATTCGTTACATAATTTTTTTTGTGACAGGGTACAGGATGATATAAACTAGTGAGTAATTTTCATACATGTATGATGACTCAACGTTCACGGTAGCTCAGCAAGCAATGTAAGGATTATTTATATTTAATTATAATAGTAGAAACTGTAGACTACAAGTTATAAACATAGGTAATCAGAGATTACAGAGCTCACCTCAACGTGTGTTGTCTTTAAGTAAGGCAAATTAAGTCACACAAATAACCAACAAAAAGTGTACATCCAAAAATGCAAAATTTATGCAATTTTGATACTTTAGAATAGACCTATATAAAAACTAAAAACTAGTTCTTCATCATGAAAATGTAATTAAAATCCAGCATCTGAAGCAAGATTGAGAATTTTCATCCCTTGATGCATCATTTGTGAAACTGGATTATATAAGCCTTATAGTTTCTTGGTGATAGACTTGCACCCATAACTTTTACGAGGTCAATTATCTGGAAAATGTATGTCGAATTCAGCATCTGAAGCAAGTCCATTAGTGTGCATCCTAAGATGTATCATCCATGCAAGTTTGGTCAACATAGGGCTTAAAGTTACTTGCAAATGAAACTTGTATAAAAAAAATAACCTTTCCACTAAACAAGAAAATGTAGGTCAGATTCAGCATCCGAAGCAAGCCTAGTAGAATGCACCCTTAGATGTACCATCCATGCAAGTTTGGTCATCATAGGGCTCAAAGTTACTTGGAATCCTGCACCATAAACTTTAACCTGTTTACTCAACCGGAAAATGTAGGTCAGATTCAGCATCCGAAGCAAGTCTGGTAGTATGCATCCTAAGATGTACCATCCATGCTATAAAGGGTTCATAGTACATTTACCTTGGAAATGAAACCTGCACCAAAAATTTTAACCTGTTCACTCAACCGGAAAATGTAGGTCAGATACAGCATCCGAAGCAGGTCTTGTAATATGCATCCTAAGATGTACCATTCATGCAAGTTTGGTCATTATATGTCTCATAGTAACTTGGAAATGAAACCTGCACCAAAAACTTTGACCTGTTCACTCAGCCTGAAAATGTAGGTCAGATTCAGCATCCGAAGCAAGTCCAGTAGAATACATCTTAAGATGTACCATCCATGCAAGTTTGGTCATTATAGGGCTCAAAGTATCTTCGAAATGAAACCTTCACCAAAAACTTTAACTTGTTCACTCAACCGGAAAATGTAGGTCAGTTTAAGCATCCGAAGCAAGGCTGGTAGTATGCATCCTAAGATGTATCATCCATGTAAGTTTGGTCATTACTGTATAGGGGATTAATTTCACGGGTTGTAATTTTCACGTTTTTCTCTCATCTGACACGATCGCGGTTTCTTGAATTCGCGGAATACTTGGTATGTAATAAAAGTTACTTCCCTTGTCTGCATTTAATTCATACCATAGCTACATGTAAACGACATTTATCAGCGTTATGTCTTTATTTCACGGACAACAGGGTAAGTTATTATAAAATAGTTAGATTTCATAAATAATTAATTTACACAAGTGCAGTTATTGATAGTCCCTAAACGATAAATGACTTTCCTATATGCTATTACGATGAGTGCATGTGCACTCGAGATCTTCCATACAACGCGGCGAAAAACCACTGGGCGGAAATAAAACTTTTTATGTAGTTCTACGAAATAACATCCTTCCACACTTCCTTCGTCAGTAAGTTCGACATTTGAAAGATTTTTTAAAACCAAAATGTCGATAAAAACTACATGAACTAATATGCATTCATTCATGAGAATGCAGGTAACAAATACACGTGGTAACATTAGTTTCGCACGGGTAATCAAAACCCATAGCCCACGTGTTTTGATTGATGAAACATATAGCATTGGCTATTAAAACAGCTTTTGAACAAACACAAATTATTATCTGCCGATTTGAATTAAAGTAAAGCGTGATAATTTAAATTAATTGAGTGACAGTACTACTCGCAATTACTGAAATGACCATGGACTATACGTACACCTATATAAATCTATCGTGGTCTATTCTCAAATTTCCAAATAAAACATGGAGATTATTGAAAATTTATTCACTGTTTCTTGAATTCACGGATTTGTCAACACCGTGAATGTAGCGAATATTAACACCGCGAGTTATTTTCCCCCTATACAGTATATGTCTCATAGTAACTTGGAAATGAGACCTACACCAAAAACTTTAACCTGTTCACTCAACGGGAAAATGTAGGTCAGATTCAGCATCCGAAACAAGTCTAGTAGAATACATCCTAAGATGTAAAATCCATGCAAGTTTGGTCATTATAGGGCTCAAAGTATCTTCAAAATGAAACCTTCACCAAAAACTTTAACCTGTTCACTCAACCGGAAAATGTAGGTCAGATACAGCATCCGAAGCAAGGCTGGTAGTATGCATCCTAAAATGTATCATCCATGTAAGTTTGGTCAACATAGGGCTTGTAGTTACTCGGAAATGAGACCTACACCAAAAACTGCACCAAAAATGTTAACCTGCACCAAAAACATTAACCTGGTCATTCCTTTGCTGAAATTGCAGCATCTGAAACTTTGACTGGTACAATGAAACACACTAGCAACATCTTCCATGCATGTCTAATCAATATAGGACATAGAAGTACTTAAAAAGAAAACTGCTCCAAAAAACTTAACCTTAACCCGGGACGCCGACGCCGAGGGTATCACATAAGCTCCCCCCAACTTCGTTGAGGTGAGCTAAAAATGCAGGTATTATAGACTTTATAAACCAAAATTGGAAGAATATAAAGAGAACTCGTAAGGCGCTAATTTCATAAGACTTCGCCAAAATCGTAAGGGTTGGCAGCTCTGAAAAAATAGAAATAATAAAATCGAGGCGGGAGTAAAAAATTGGGGCGGGCAGGGATGAGAATCTAGGAATATATTTATTATGGCCTTATAAGTTTAAGACAAGTCAATTAAATTATAATATTTCAAAGTCAAGAGGAAAGAAAATCACATTGCTAAAAGCAACAATTCTTTATAAACGTGTTCACTATCAGTGCGTTTTACTTTATCAGGTTTTATAGATGTACGTACCTCTTTTATGTTTGACCCCTGTCTGCCGATGATGCCCCCCGCTGCCTTGGCGGGGACCTCCAGTTCTATGATTGTTTGTTTTGATGTGGCACTCTGTCTCTTCTCTTCATCTTCATCACTGTCATCCTCTGGAAATATAGAACACAGTTTACTGTCTGACTTAGAGGAACAGAATTAAACTATACAATAGAGTAAATTTTACCATTTAAAAGGCGTCTAATTGAAAATGAAAGCTTCATTAGTTCGGAAATATTTCGACTTTTTATATATTAAAGAAAAAAGAGACAAAACAATAACAGTGTGCATAATAATACCATTATAATGTGATTTGAATCACTTAGTTCATTTTTTTGTCAGGAACCTACTTTATACTAGAAAGATTCTGCAAATCTCTGATACAGTGCAGAAATATGGGAAGAACTCTGTGATTATAATGGTCTATTACAGTGATTAAATCAAAATACATTAACGATGAATAAGTTTGAACTTTATTGTAGTAAATGATAAACCTACCTTCAGTGCTGGAGAGGAGTTTATACAATAAGTAGGCTGTACTGGCTACACTCACGACGCCAGCTGTCACTAAGATCTTACTGAGGGTCCTCATAATGTCAAGGTTTACATCCCAAGGCTGTTAAAATACATGTCACAATGAGATTCTTTATTTTAATCCTTTACTTCAAAAACAATATTCCTCATAATGTCCAAAAATATATATATGTAAAACATCTTCATCTCGCAAATCGAGTCCATTCATCTGTTTATCAGTGGTGATTTTTTTTTTCTTACTCTGAGTACTCTCATTGACAACTTGCAAATTAGAATACAAATACAAATATTTTATTGGCACAAGTTTACGCAATTATACAGAACATAGTAATAACATAGAACATGGTTAATATAGTGGAACATAACTGCCTATCTATCGGCTAGAATACAAACAATTGGTGTAGCAAATTATGTATTGTACTCATAAAATACCGTATAAGTAGAATTTTTAGCGAGGATTTAATTTTGGCATTATTAGCGAGGGTGCCGAGATCGCTAAAATTAAATATCGCTAAAAATTAATTGCGTTTTATATGTATTAGCTTCTTAAACGTGCATTTTAAAATCGCTAAAATAACTTATACGGTACTATATAAATACATACATATGATTCAGTTCAATGTAGTTACTCATTTATAGCTAAAATATTTTTTCTTATATCAGATATTTGACATAAAAATGATGAGAATATTTTAAGAACCTTTTTACAACTAGTTTTCATCAATAGTTTTAACAATTTGTCATTATTATGGATTGTTTGGTTCAAGTTAGGAAAAGTAGATAGTTTTGTTTTGAATATATGTTTCTCTGTGATTAATATTTTGGACATAGCAAAATGAAATGTTTTTCATCCTCAATATCAAGGTTTTGACATACTTTACATATCCTATTATTTTTATTAATTTCAACATATCTACCTTTTTCAATTTCTAAGTTGTGTGCACTTAACCTAATTTTTGCTAAAAATGATCTATCATGTAGTGACTCTAGTTTGTCAACATAATGAGCACGTCTATTATCAAGACAAATGTTCTGATAAAAAGACAGTTTTGAGGAGTTTATTATATTTGCATTTTGTTCTTGTAATATTTGATCATGAATGCGTTGTTTAATAATGTCAAGCACTGGTTTCATTGACATATTAAAATTTGTTAAATAAGAAAATCCTAAGTTATTAAGACAAGTTTTTAGACACATAGACCATGTGTTAGTTTCTTTAGTTTTGATCAAGAGTATTAAGCTACATTGTAGACCATCAGGACTACTTGACAATAAAACTAAGTCATCTGCATATAACAAACAGTGTATTTTTGTGTCCTTTACCAATATCGGATCAGCATGATCAGAATTGATACTGTTTAATTCATCAACAATTTTGTTTATGAAAATGTTAAAAAGCAAGGGACTTAATACATCACCTTGTTTGACACCCCTTTCAGATATAAAGGGTTCACTTAACCCCTCATTAAACTTTATTTTGTTCATGGTGCTTGCATACATAGAATAAATCACATTGAAAATTTTCTTTGGAACACCATTTTTTAGAAGTATGTAAAATAGACCTGTTCTCCAAATAGTATCAAATGCTTTTCTCAGATCAATGAATGCTGCATAAACTTTTTTCTTTTTGAGTTTGTAATGCTCATTTATAGATTTTATAGAAAATATATGATCAGCTGTTCTGCTGTGTTCCATAAAGCCAATTTGATTTTTGCTAATTTGATTATTATCTAAAGTAAATTTGATTTACTACATGCATCTGTGTTGTCAACCGGCTTTCACGTGTTAAATCTATTTAAAGTACCAATTTTTATCAATTCTGAAAAATACCTACTTTATTTACCAAATCTTTTAAAAATTAATTCAAATTTCCAACATCTCCTTTTTCACTGCCGTTGGCCATGCTTCTATTTTCATTTCATAATTTATGTATCTCGATCCCGATCGATTTGACTAAGAGACTTAGCACGAGTGTTGAGAATGCTAGTTTTACGCAATTTACGTTATATTGCAAGGCCGTTACTGTAACTACCATTGAGGCAAGTGAGGCAAATGCCTCACTAATTTTTTTAGAGTTTTCTGAAAAGTGAAAAAGTTTTACATTGAACTTATAAATTATGTGTGTCTGCGTGCTAAATAAAAATGTTCAACTTAATTTCATCTCCATTTCTGTAAATCGTTCATCACACCAGGTGCCTCATTAACATTTAGAGCGCACGTAAAATTTAATTCAAAATGTTAATTTTGTAAATTGTTAGATTATTTAACACTCCATTCTCAGAATTTCTTATTCATATTGAAACACTTGCCGATGGAGGGCTGCAAGTTTTAAATCTGTACTGGGCTTTCAGGATCACTGAAGATGATTGAACAGTGAAAGATCTTTTTGTGCCATTACTTACTGTGACATAGGATCTCGGTTTTTACGGTCTCATCCGAAGAACCTGTCTCTACATCCCGCAGGGGGATTCGAACCCATGATGTAAGGATCAATTCCTTAGTCTGCGACTTTAGAGCATACGCTAGATAACCACTTTTTTATTTTCTAATACCCAGGACCTTCCTCCCCTTTGAACCCTCAATAACTGGTCATGAGGTACTACCCTTGCCCCGTCTGAGAGTAGGAATGCCCAGCACCCTAACACCTTAAGATAACCGGAACCAGTGACAAGGGGAAGAAAAAACCTCAACAGGAAACCACCGGTCCTCCGGGTCCAGGGGCTTGGGGGGGGGGGGGGGGAGAAGCAAGCAACTCCATCCCACTGAATAAAAAAAAAGTCTCCCATGTACATCTCCAAGAAGCGAACAGGAATAAGTCAAACAAGCCATCCTCATATCATGTTGTCTAATCCAAAAATTAAAAAAATAATAATAATCGTATAGATTTAATTTCTTTATTTAACAAAGTCAGTTTGACAATAAGTTAACATTTATTACGATAGTCAATAACAGTGGAAGGTGATCTTCATACAATGTGGTCAAATGATGCAGCCCTCTAAAAAAGAAAATTTCTCTATAATTAATAGTAATTCTGGACTGAGTATTCAAAGAAAGTGAAGTATACGAGAAATGATAAATTTGAAAGTACATGAAACTAATTTTAATCATTATTTTTTATATAAATTTTCACAAATTCGCAAATAAATGAGACAAATGATATTTCTTTAAAATTAAACATAAAAAGAAAACGAAAACCATCTTTTTTTAAATGAAAAGACAGTAGGATTTTTTTTTATGAAAGAAAGCTGCGTTGAAGCTTTGCTTCCGATAATCACACATTGACTATATATAATAAATATTCGCCTCTAAATGGCAAAAATGTAGAATTAATGATACCCTTTATATTTTCATGTAACAAAAAATTAATTTGATTTCAAAGTTATATTCAATTTTCTGAGGAAGGTTACATGAATTATTATTTTTTTTATTTTTACGTACACATACTACCGGTACAAAAATTCCTACGGATCCTCCACACATACCACTGGTGCAGCACTTGCTAGAGATCCGTCCCTTAATTGTACACTTACCACCATTTACATCTTTTGCAAGAGATCCACCCAAACATTAAATTCATCCCACCATTAAAAAATTGTTATAGATCCGCACTACATGTATATGGTATATTTTCCACCGGTGCAACCCTTGCTATATTCTTTTTAGAGAAGTGGACAGGCTATCGCCTACATCGCGAGGCGATAGCCTGTCCACTTCTTTAAAGAGAATACCCTTGCTATAGATCAGTTCCCATTATTGTACACAAACTTCCATGCAGCTCAGCACTTGCTAATCTATATACATGTATCCGTGCCTATATTGTATACTCACCACCGTAACACCCCTTGCTATATAGATCCGCCCCTTTATTGTACACTTACCACCGGTACAGCACTTGATGTAACAACAGAGGATGATCCCTGAACAACAGATAATGAGCCCCAGACCACACATCACGGCGGTTACAATGATAGCTGTCACTTCAGTACTGAAATGTAGAAAGAATCAAAGTACTGAAAGAACTATAGGCAATAAATAGAATCAAAATTACTGAAAATATTACATGTACAGTCATTTGACATACATATAATTTGAAAGTTCGATACATATAAATAGCTTAAACTGTATTTTTTTTTACTTATATTAACATTTAATGTCTTAAAAGATTTCGTAGCTAAAAGAACTATGGACAAATGTTGTGCCTTTTTAGTGAATCATATACATGTAGGAGTACATGTATATAGTACAATATAGAAAACATCGCTACTAAATGATTGCTCCACCTCATTTTAAATGACAGATGAACCTTTTCTACATTTTTAGACCCGGTCCCTCCCCTTTCTACCAAAATAAATGATAATTGATATCCTTTTAACACTCGTCGTTAGATAATAACTCACTCGTGTTGGTCCTGTCTGGTCGAACCATCACTGACGTCTGTCTGACCATCTATAAAATTAGAAATAAACTTAAAAAAATAATGACCTTGTGGACAGAAGTGTCCTTTCTGACATTTAAATAAACTCTGTAATATGACTATTTTTTAATGAATAATAAATAAATTATGCTATTGAAGACAGAAGCTAGAAATGCGTCAAAATGTGATAAAATGAGTAATATAGAAATTGGGAAACGTACATTTTATTGAGCAAGTATATATATTTGGCCTGTCTATACTCAGAAGGGACATAAGTGTATTGGTGTTATGGAGCGGGGTGGGATGGGGTCTTTTATATGTTACCTGTATTCTAGTGATCCATTATTACTGTAGTTGGTTGTCCAGGAGATATAGGAGGGGGTGTCAATTTACTCAATTACATGTAAGTTACATTGTACCTGATATTTAAAAGTCTACAGAATGTAGTTATGTTCAGTCAGTGTTATGGGTGGAAAAGATGAGGATACTTATATGTATACAAACTAATCCGGAGCCTTTTTTATTTGAGAGTTACCAGTAAATTCACTTGATTTATGTCAAAGGGATCCTGGAGGAGGCGATTTTAACTTACAGATGAAAGTCAGAATAGTTAAGGTTAAGGAGAGGAACTCGTAAGTTGAAAGAACTTGTTTCCAGTCATTTTGTTTATA